GCAGCAGAGACAGCAGCAGAGACAACATCGGCAGCAGCAGAGACAACATCGGCAGCAGCAGAGACATCATCGGCAGCAGCAGAGACATCATCGGCAGTAGCAGGAACAACAACAGTAGCAGCAACAACGACACCACTCCTCGTTGACGAAGCACCACCAACACCCGCACAGCAGCTGAATCCGGCTCAACGGGAAGTCCATAGAAGCGCAAACTTCACCGCCAGCTTCTACTCCAACTCCGACGCGTATCGACGCTCACCCGGACACCGCGCCTCCGAAGACATCTGGCACGCACGCATGGGACACCCAAGCAACACTGTGTTAAACAACACAATAAGAGCAGGAGTCCTTGACAAGGACTCGTTACTACTACTCGACGGCAGAAAACTTCAACGGGCACGAGGAACATGTCTTACCTGCCCCGAAGCCGACTTACCACATCGGCCGTTCACTCCTCATCACAACCCGAGCACACCCGCGTACGCACCACTCGAAAAGGTGTATAGCGACATCCTGTACAATCGGGAACCAGGACAAGTAATATACAACTACACAATCACCTTCATCGACGCCGCCACCCGTTACGTCTGGCATCTAAACCTACCCAGCCGCGACATGGTCCTCGAAGCATTCGCTGCTTGGCTACCAGTAGCAGAAAGAGAGTCGGGCGTAAAGCTGAAAAGCTTCCAGTCTGACGGAGGAGGAGAATACACCTCTCAGCGATTCAAGCAGTACCTGGCGGAAAGGGGAATCAAGCAGCTCCTCTCTCTTCCCTACGCCCATCAGCAGCAAGGTGTAGCAGAAAGAATGAACAGGACTCTGCAGAACAGCATGCGCAAACTGTTGCGTGGCATGCGGCTACCCAACCACCAGTGGCCTGACGCGATGGACCACGCTGTCATGCTGCACAACTTGCTCTCATCTTCATCACTACCGAACAACGCATCACCGCATCTGCTGTGGACAGGAAAACAGGGCAGCACAAAAATGTTACGAGTGTTCGGATGCATGGTACAGTACCGACCCCCAGCAGCACGAGCGGGCCGATTTTCACAACGCGCACAGTGGGGACTACACCTCGGCATCGAAAAGAACTACAACGCGTGGAAAATCTTTGACATCCACTCCAAGGAAACAGTAGCAGCACGCGACGTCATTTTCTACGAACGACTCACGCTCCAGACATACCTTGCCAACCTGCAAGAGGACCAAGATCCCACAGGTGGTTTTCGTGGTGACCGAGCCTTCGCCTCGGCAGCAGACGAAGCTGACTGGGACGAGCAGAATGTGGCCAACGCATCAGAAGAAGCTGGACCCCTTCCGTTCTGCTCCGTCGACGTCCCCATGGACGAAGATAACCCTCGCGAAAGTGTCAACGCCGAAACCTTCTACTACTTCGCCGACAACGGTTACGTAACACCTGCGACAGTCAACACCAACGAAGCAGAACGAGTAGGACCGAATTTCATACATGATCCAGAAGCGGGAGATGAAGCAGCTTATCCCGAGGATGCAACTCTTCCCCGCTACTCACAGACTGGACTGCAGATTCTCGGACTCGTCACCGCAGTCCACGGCAACACTCTTCCTAAGGAGCCTGCGACGGTTCAGCAGGCTCTGGGGGGGGAACACAGGGAAAAATGGCGTGAAGCCATGGACAGAGAGTTAAAGGCGCTGGAGGAACGGAACACCTGGAAAGTTGTCCCCATCAGCGTGGCAAGGAACAAGACCATTCTCATCGGGAAATGGGTCTTCCGCGTTAAAATAAAAGCAGACGGCACAATTGAGAAGTTCAAAGCACGCTGGGTTGTGCGTGGATTCGATCAGGAGCACGGACGGGACTTCACCGAGACATTCGCCCCGGTTAGCCGACATACCTCACTTCGAATCCTCCTCACGATCGCCGCCATGAAGAAAAGGAAGCTACGGCAAATCGATGTCGCCAACGCGTTCCTCTACGCACCTGTCGACGTGGAAATCTTCGTCGAGCTCCCACACGGTACCAACGGGGAACCTAACCAAGTCTGTCAACTGCTGAAATCACTTTACGGGATCAAGCAAGCTCCGCGGCTATGGCAACAGTACCTACACGCTCGCCTCATTCGCATCGGATCCCGCCAACTACCTACTCACTAAAGACACCGACTACATTCTGCTGATCGTCTACGTAGACGACCTACTCTACATCGGCTCCACTGACGACATCACCACCTGGTTCGAAGGGGAGCTACAGAGGGACCTCACACTCACGGTCTCCTCTACCGTCACACAGTACCTCGGCTTGAACATTCGGGAAGAAGAAGGCGCGATCTACCTCAACGCCGCTAAGTACGCCGACACCATCGCCAAACGCTTCGCGCTCACACCTACCACCATCTCTACGCCCTACCGCTACGCGACAGGAAACCACAAGGAAGGATCCTCTCTACTCAAATCCGCCGGGATACGCGACTACCAGAGAAAGCTAGGATGCCTTCTCTTCGCAGCTGTCACCTGCCGCCCCGAACTCTCATACTCCGCAAGCCAGCTCGCCACCTACCTCAAGAAGCCTGAAGCAGAACACCTGGCGGAGCTCGACCGCGCTCTCCACTACTTCGTCAGTACCTCGATGATCGGCCTAACTTACTACAAGAACACAACTACACCGACTAAATTAATCGGCTACGTCGACGCTGATCACGCTGGCGACTCCGACAACAGGCGCTCCCGCACCGGCTACATCTACCGCCTCGAACCTATCGGACCGATCTCCTGGCAATCGAGCAAGCAGGAATTAATTGCTCTCTCGTCAGCTGAAGCAGAATATATTGCACTCTGCTCAGCCACCAAGGAAGGACTCTATCTTCGCGAGCTGCTGGAAGAAGCGAAGTTAGCCGAGTTACCCAACTTCACTCTGTTCTGCGACAACCAATCTGCAATTCGCATCGCCAACAAAAATGGATTCGCGAACAGAACGAAGCATATCGCTCTGCGATATTTCTTCGTGAAAGACGAGATTGAGAAGGGGAGACTTGAACTATCCTACTGTCCCACGTCCGAGATGGCAGCTGACTACTTGACCAAGAAGCTCGGACAACAGAAGTTCGAGTACTGCATGCTGCTGACTGGACAAAGCCACGTCACCAGCAGCGACACTCCAGAAGCGAAGGGGAGTGTTGGGAACAAACAATCTTAAGCGCCTCTGTCGTGTCGAAACACCAAGGCACAAGCGAAGCAGAGCATATCGAGGCACCAGCGAGTCAACCCTCGGAGGTTGAAGTAACCGCTGGAGGTTACGCGAAAGTCAAAGGTCAGCGACCTTTGACTTGACAAATGCAGCGCGACAGCAAGGACACACAACTGACTCGACATTGAGCAGTTGCCCGAGTCGCACTGTATCGAACCGCAACAGTAAAACAGTTTAATTATATCTCTTCGTATTCTTTGTACTCTTATATAAACCTTTGTACTTGCTTGTTTTAATCAACTTACTTTGCCCTCACATACCAGCGCAAGGTGGTTCAAGGACTTCATTTAAACGCTTCCGCTACTACATCACTCTACCCAGAGTTTAACCCTACCAAAGATCCTAAGGGGCACTCAGCCCAACACTGTGGACCATTTCAAATCGGCCACATGATCACCCCAGTTACTGCCCACTTACTGTTGCCGACAGACTGGTACATCAGCCCATCATTCCACGTCAGCCTGCTTCGCCCTTACATCCCAAGCACGAGCCAACAGCCTCGTCACCGCCCACCATCCATGACTCGCCCTGCATCAGAGCCAATCATCGAGCCCGAAAAATTCTGAGCCATCGGATTCGCCACCCCACAGGCATCAAGAGGATTGAGTTCCTAGTTCGCTTGGAGGACCGCACGCCAACTGAGGATAGCTGGGTGCCCCTGGCCAACATCGAAAATCACCCTGCCTTGCAAGTGTACCTGAGGAGCCGGGGTTTCCGCGATATACACGCACTCGCGTAGCGGAGGGGGCTTCTTGAGGGTGGGGGGGGGGGCTTCTCGCTATTCCTTACCGCGACAGTCCACATCGCGTACAGCAGCAGTCGTTGTTCGCCCGTTACTGCTAACGGGGCTTCGCCAACTTCGCGCGCACTGTTTCACCAAACCTCGCACTGCTGGAGCAGCCGAGTTGGCCTACGCTTCGGGACTAGCCCGAACCTCGCGCCAGCATAGCACTAGCTATATCGCACGCACCGTGTTACCGTTTGCACATTTTCGCGTAAAAGTATTCGTTCATGTCTTCGCCCATATTTTGTACTCATTGAACACTCTAGTGCAATCCTCGCTACCTAGATTCATTGCACCCGTAACTTCGCCCTAGATTTGGTATTTGCAAGACACTTGTATTCAAATAGAAAATGGTGACGTGGAGGAACCTTTGGTGTTTCGCCCAAACCGCACTCATCTCATATCCCTGGGGGTCTCTGACAACACGTGCGCTGGCAGTCAACTCTGCTCGTCGATCGATTCGTGTCACTGCTCTGACAGGCCGCAAATCCATTAGAAGGCTCAGTGGGGAAGGAACGGTCTGAGATCGCGAGAGCAGATTTGTCTTTCACCACCATTTACAGCCGCTGCATCAGCAGCAGGATTTTCTATGGCAGCGAGCGGGTGACACACACGCCGCTTCAGGAGGTTTAGATCAAGCTGATCTTATCCTCTTCCCCAGTCCGCCTTTCGCGCATGCAGATCTTCGCTGCGTGCCGTGCGGGCTAGCCGCCTTATAGTTGCTGTTGTTTAGCACAGAAAATATAACGCTGAGAATAAGAGGCGAATACTATTTTGAGGTTCTATCCTATCTCTTCACCCGCGGATCCGCCTCTGCGATTGAGTGCCGTTCCAGCCGGTCAATCTCTCGCCGTTCGAAAGAGCCTCGCTGTTGTTAGATACGTCTCTAGTCGAGTGACCGCTGAGGGGGTTTAACGAGGGTACAAGGAGCAGGTGTTCCGTTTCACGCACGAGAGCGAAGGATAACGAGGGACCCGTGCTGTGGGCGACATGGCGGCGGCTTTGGCGACAGTCGCGAAGGCGAAGGACGGGTCGCACGTGTCGCTGGACGGCGTGCGCGACAAGAACGTGGGGCAGCTGCGAAAGCTAAACGCGGCGATGTTTCCCGTCAAGTACCAGGAGAAATACTACAGCGACGCCATGGCTGCTGGCGAATACACTAAGCTAGGTACGCACTCATCTGCGTGGATCGATCGACCGATCGGCCGTCGATCCACGAATGCGTGGTTTCGTGCAGGCGCATGTTTCGTTGCTGGCAGTTCGTCCTTTCCCAGTCGTTTTCTGCGGTCTCCGCTCTTTGTCTTTCCCGTTATCAACAACCCCCCCTATTTCCCCAAAGCCCCTCCTGCATTTCGTTTCACGTCGTTTTTTCTTCCTCTCACATTCCACAACCCTTTCTGCGCCACCCGAAACCCTTTCCCGTCGTCTCCCCCCACCCCTCAACCACTCCGCATCTCTCCCTTCCCCCGTCCCCCCCACTTCCCCCCCTCCCTCCCCCTTTTTTGCGCCCCCCACTTCCTCCCTCCCCCCCCATTTCCTTCACCCACTCCTCGCTCCCCCAGCGTTCTACAGCGATGTGCACGTGGGCGCGGTGGCGTGTCGGCTAGAGCGCGAGGCGGGCAGCGGCGGCGGCGTGAAGGTGTACATCATGACTCTCGGCGTGCTCGCGCCCTACCGCCGCCTCGGCATCGGTGCGCGCTGCATTGCTTGCTCTTTCTTTGCCGGGAAATGGGGGTGGGGGTGAGGGTGGGGTGGGGTGAGGCTGGTGTGGGAGTGTTTGGCGAGAGGGATAGGAAAAAAGGGGAAATGGTTGAGGGCGGGTCCGGGGTGGCGAATGGGTGCGTTGCGTCACTGCCGCTGGCTTTGCCGCTGACGGTATCACATCACATACCATCTACAAGTCGGATTTTCTTCCCTCACTCCCTCTGTTCGTCTTGCCCCATAACCTCTTGCATCCCCCCCTCCCCTGTTCCCCTCCCCCCACCCTTCCCTCATCCCCCGCTTCTCCCCTACGCGCCCCTGCATTTCCTGCCTGCTGCTGCTGTTGCTCCCCACACACACACACATAACCAGGCTCGTTGCTGCTGCAGCACGTGCTGAGTCAGTGCGAAGCAGAGGGGTCAGGCGTACGAGAGGTGTACCTGCACGTGCAGACCAACAACGAGGAGGCCATTGCCTTCTACGCGCGCTTTGGCTTCGCTATAACGGACACCATTAAGAACTACTACCGCCGCCTGCAACCCCCGGATTGCTACGTGCTCTCGCGCTCCTTTGGCCCGGGGGCCACTGCCGCCCAGCAGAACGGCGCTGCTGCTGTTCCGGGGCAATAAGACTGCTGGGACGGTTTTGCTTGTGTGCGTGTACGTGTAACGGTTTTTTTTCTTCTTCAGCAGCCGCTACTGCGGTTGTTTTTTTTTTTTTTTCTCTCTCTTTCCTCTTCCTGTTGGTGGTAGGTAGAGTGACTGTCAGGGCAATGTCACTGAGCACATGCACACCTGCTTACTGTGCGAGAAACTATCCAATAAAAGCAAGCTGGACGGTATTACTGTAGGTAGGCAGCATACTGAGCATATCCAGCTCCACCACCATCTCACTCAGCCAACAATTCCCAAGACAAGGCTGCAAGGTGCTGTTCCATCCAGGCCCTACGATACGGTATCAGGAACTTTTCCCTGAAATTCCTGATTTTCAGGGATTTTTTTGTACCTACCCTGATTTTCCTGTGTTCAGCTTTTTGGGGGACTGATTCTTCAGCCTTAAGGGGCCAGATGACAGGGCTTTCAGGTTTTTTTTTTACGGGACACTGATTACACTACGTTGTAACGAAACTGACACTGAATGCGATTCCTACACGTTCCGAGTGTAGTTGCCCGGAAGTACAGGGAATCTAGGGGCCAGTTCACATGCAGAGATATATGTGTAACAACAACAGCACAGTGATATCTACCTACAAGAGCAATCATGCAGGTATACATATAGATCACAGTACAAACAAAGCCTACAGCAAGTGAAGAAGTGTGGGAACAAGGCCTAACAAAGTGCAGAGACGCTGATGATCACCAGGCGGAAGCGCCTTGGTGAATATATCAGCAGTGTTGGCCCGAGTGGCCACGTAAGCAAGACGAAGCTGGCCACGCCGCTGCAGCTCTCGAGCAAGGAAGTAACGTAGAGCGATGTGCTTGGTTCTGTGCTCAAGTCTGTGCTCCTGACACAAGGCAATGGCAGCCTTGTTGTCGACGTACAGAACTGGAGGAGAACGAGGCCGCTCTCCCAAGTCGGTCAGCAGGTAGGTGAGCCAGCGTAGCTCCTGTGCAGCCATGGCTGTGGCGTAGATCTCGGCCTCACAGCTGGAGCCGAGGACTGAAGACGAACGTGTAGAAGGCCAGGAAACTGAACCAGAACCAAGGCTGTAGGTGTAACCCTGTGACGACCGCTGCGTAGCCTGGTCGTCAACCCAAGAGGCGTCCGAGTGACCAGTGAGGACAACGTCACCCCGTCCTCCAAGCACGAGCCCCATGCCCGATGTACTGCACAAGTAGCGTAGTACCCTCTTAGCGGCATCCATGTGCACCTTTCGGTGCCGACCAGGAGCCACGTAGCGAGCCAGAAGGCCAAGAGGGTACGCAAGGTCAGGAAGAGTGCAGGTCATCAGGTACATGAGGCAGCCCACTAGCTCTGGGTAAGGACCACTCGGCTCTACGGACTCGTCCGAAGGTGGAGCTGAGAGCGAGTGACCTGTAGCCAGAGGAGTGGCCTGTGCTGAGGACCAGGTGAAGCCGAAGCGCTGAAGGACCTGCTGCACCATGTGTGAATGAGTCAGTGTGATGGTGCGGCGTGCTCTGTCCCGAGTGATCTGCAAGCCAAGATAGCTGCGCAGCTCACCCAGGTCTGTGCACGTGTGTCTCTTCTGCAGCTCCGACTTCACCAGGGCGAGAGCCTCAGTGTCAGCAGTGGCAAAGACCAAGTCGTCGACGTACACAAGGATGTAGAACGGCGGCAGCAAAGTGTCGGTGCGCAGAAACAGCGACGGGTCAGCAGTCGACGGAGCAAACCCAAGAGCCGCAAGTGTCGTCCTCAGTGTGTCGTGCCACTCACGTGGCGCCTGGCAGAGACCGCAGACCGGCCGCCGGAGGCTCCACTGGGTACCAGGAGGGAACGACCCAGTGAAGCCAGGAGGGCGGCACAGCCATATCTCCTCATGCAGGCTGCCCTGTAAGAAGGCTGTGTTGAAGTCAAGAGAGTGAAGCTCGTAGTCACGCTGAGCGGCAACGTGTAGCAGCATCCAAAGAGTGGTCATCTTCGGGGTGGGGGAGAAGGTCTGGAAGAAGTCAACTCCCTCTCGCTGACTGAAGCCTCGAGCCACGTAACGAGCCTTGAAGACAGGCGGAGAACCTGGCGGCCGCTTCACCCTGAAAATCCACATGCCACTGACAATGTTCGCCCCAGGAGGGGGAACCTCGTCAACGTAGGTGCCTGTGGACTTCCAGGATGCCATCTCTGCGTCCATGGCTGTCTGCCACTGAGAGGAGTACTCACCCGCGATTGCCTCAGCGTAAGAACGCGGGGTAGGGATGTCTGGTGCATCCGGGTCTCCCTCAGGGGCAAGCAGCATGGCCACGAGATGAGGCGCAGCGGCTGCAAGACACTCAAGGTCCTCCTGCCTGTCCTCAAGGACGTCCGTGCCAAGAGCACACTCACCCCCGACGGACGGAGGACAGACAGACTCAGACTCAGCAACAAGACTGGCGGCGTAGTCGAGACGACAGGCAGCAGCAAAGTCAACAAGCTCAGCGACTAAGGCAGACGCAGCAGCAGACTCAAACGACGGGTCAGTGACAACAGTGGCAAGCAGACGCATAACAGTAGAGTGCTCAGCACAAAACTGGCCAGACGCAAGGTCAACAACGACAGGCAGAGAGGACGCAGGGGGAGACGGCAGAGGAACACGCGGCGGAGGAGAGGAAGGACGACGAACTACAAGGGGAGGGCCGGAGACAGCCGGCTGCCGCTGACGAGGAACACGACGACCGGAACGACCAGAACGGACAGGTGAGACAGGACGCGACGCAGGCTCACGACGCTCAGCAAGGCCCTCAGTCTGCTCTGTGTACGGAGATGGAGCAGGCAGCGGTGAGCCAGGCTGTAACGGAAGACCAGTAGACGAGGGAAGACTGAGAACCTGGCGAAGTGCAGAGTCAGGTGGTGGCTGAGACGACGGAGACGGCGAAGCGAAGAACAGGCGCGGCTGAGCAGTGCCACCAGCACCAGCAGCTCGAGCACCTCCAGCAGCTCCAGCACCTCCAGCAGCTCCAGCACCTCCAGCAGCTCCAGTACCGCCAGCACCTCCAGCAGCTCCAGTACCTCCAGCAGCTCCAGCACCCTCTGCAGCTCCAGTACCCTCAGTCACAACACCGCCAGCCCCAGCAGCTCCAGTACCCTCAGTACGAGCACCTCCGGGACCAGCGACACCAGCAGAAGAACCCCCAGCAGTAGAGCCCTGAGGTGCAGAAGCGCAACGCTGACGGCGACCGTACCAGTCGTGCAGCTGCTGGGAGGTGAGGGGCACACGCGGACGAAGACGGCTACTCCAAGGAGACCGCGTAAAAGTAGTCTCAGAACCCGCAGGCGACTCACCCCCAGACTCAGCACCCCCAGACGCAGCACCCCCAGACGCAGCACCCCCAGACGCAGCACCTCCTGGCTCCTCACGCGCAGGCTCAGCACCTCCAGGCTCCACACGCTCAGCGCCCCCAGACTCAGCACCCCCAAGTTCCGCACCCCCAGGGACAGCACCACTCCCAGCAGGACCGGAGTCACCAGTGGCCTCAACAGGCGCAGGCGCGGGGGGGTCTACCTGAGAGACACCTGAAGGAGCAGGACCTGGCGCGGGGAGGGGGTCTACCTGGGGAGGACCTGGGGCGAGAAAGAGCGGCGGGAGAGGGCGAGGAGCAGTGCGGTAGGGGAAGAGGCGGTAAAAGGGGACCGACTCGTCAAAAGTGACGTCCTGAGACGCAAAGACACGGCGCGAGGCGGGGTCGTAAAACTGCCAGCCAGGCGCGTCAGGGAGAAAGCCAAGGAAGACGCAAGGAATGGCGCGAGGGGAGAGCTTGTCCGCGGTGGTATCGCGGACAAAGGCACGAGCACCCCAGACCCGGAAACGCGACGCATCACCAACCTTCCCCATCCACGACAGTGTGGGCGAGGTCTCCGGCAAGGAGACACGGGGCCAAAGGTTGAGTTGATGCGCGGCGTACCGGACCGCAAACGGCCACAGAAAATGGGGGGCAGCCGCATGGACCATGGAGGTACGAGCGACCTCCATGACTAAGCCAATGCGGCGCTCAGCAACCCCATTCTGCTGCGGAGAGGCCGGAAGCGTGAATGTCTGGCGGATGCCGTGCTCCGCACAGAAGGCAGCCAAGAGGTCTGAGGAGAACTCACCACCTCGGTCAGAGTGCAGATGCAGGACAGGAAAGTCCGATTGGAACCGCTCGCAGAGCTGGAGACGAGCAGCGCGGATCCAGGGGATCAGAACAGCAGGGACATCCCCCTTGCGCTGCAAGGGGAAGACCGTGGTGTAACGCGTGTAGTCGTCGACAACCAGCAGGAAGTACCGCTCGTGGCCTTGTCCACGGACGCGGGCTGGGCCCCACACGTCCAGGTGGAGAGTCCGCAGTGGAGCCTCTGTGGGAGGGAACGAGGAGGAGTGAGGAGCGGCGCGCTGCCGCCCCTCGACGCAAGGAATGCAGGGCGGCGCAGGCGAGGGAGGGAGGGGAGGCAGAGACCTGGGAAGACCAGAGACCAGAAAGCAAGAGTGCATGCTACGAAGGCGAGGCAGGGAGGGGTGACCAAGGCGGTGGTGCCACTGGAGAGTGTCGTGCGACAGCCGACGACACTCACACTGTGTAGCTACCTAAGCAGACGCGTGTAACTGGGGAGACAAAGGGGCGGAGCGCGACGCAGTGGTGAGGGTGTACAGACTGGACCCTGGCGCACGAGTGAACGTGGCCAGGTGGCGACCAGTCTGGGAGCACGTGCAAATTGCCACACGCTGCCGGCCAGGGGTGAAGGTGTCAACCCCCGCATCCTGGAGGACAGCGTTACTCACCAAGTTCGTAGAGAACGAGGGGAGGTGGAGACCAGACAGCTCACCAGACGGGACAGCCGGACACGGAAGCACAGTGGAAGACCATGCAAGCACTGGGCTCCCGGAGGGGTCAGCCAGTGAGACAGGAACAGGTGCAGGGAGGGGAGTGACTGTGGTACTGTCGCGAAAGAAACAGCGGGAAGCACCAGAGTCAAGTGTAAAGGTGTGCAAGGCCTGTGCAGG